TATAGAGGAACTCAGAGCGAAATTATTTTCTGAAATAAAAAAGAATTCTTAGAACTCATAACATCTGAACTAAAGAAGCAACTACAGAAACATAGGGAGGAAACCCAATCTGAAAAAAACACTGCAGTAAAAGAATTTATAATTGCTTCTAAAGAAGACATTGATAAAAAGATAGAGGAGATTAGAAAACTGATTCCTTGAATGAGCAATACAGGAAGAAAATAGATCCCATGAAGCAGAGTCAAAGAGATATAGAGGAAATTAAAATCTCAATCACAAGCTTGCAAAACCGTTTAAGTTAAAGTGAAGGCAGAGTTTGAGATTTTGAAGACGCAGGTGCAGCTAGTGAAAAGGTAAGAAAGGATCTCTTGAAAACAACTAGGATGCAGGAAAGAATAATCCATCATCTGCAAGATGATGCAAAGATGAACAGTGAGACTAATAGGCATCAATGAGAAAGGAGTCAATACAAATGACATTAAAAAAATATGGGCAGAAGTAATAGCTGAAAACTTCCCAAATATGAGGAAACAATCTGACATTCAGGTAACTGAAGCATACAGAACGCCAAGTAACCTCAACCCAATTAAAAACACACCGACACATATAATAGTCAAGATCCCAGAAATTCAGCACAAGAATAATATACTGAAAGCCACTAAAGAAAAGAAGCAGATCACATTCAAAGGAAAACCCATCAGAATTACGGCTGACTTCTCTTCACAAACCATGAAGGCAAGAGGAGCATGGAGCAGAGTACTTCAAGTCATCTATGAAAACAAATTCCAGTCCAGACTATTATGCCCTGCAAAACATTCTTCCAGGTTGGATGGAGAAGTGAAGTACTTCCATGAGAAACAATACCTAAGAATTTCATGAGGACAAAGCCAACTATACACAAGTTACTGAAAGATGTTCTAGAGAGGGACCAAAATGATCAGAAATCCACGAATGAGATCAGAAGCAATCAACTAAATAGGGCAAGCAGTTAAACACAGGAGAAAAAGGAGTAAACGATAACAGGTAAATAACATGGCAACTGTAAGTCAATACATCTCAATTCTAACCATCAATGTAAATGGACTCAGTTCACCAATTAAGAGAAATAGACTGGCACAGTGGATTAGGAAACAAAATCCAACAAATGCTGTATACAAGAAACACATTTAACTCATAAAGACATTCATAGGCTGAAAGTCAAAGGATGGAACAAAATACTACATG